GCCCCTTCTGCAGCTCTCCCTGCAATTTTGGCCAACGCCAGCTCAGTCCTCCCTCCAGCAGCCAGAATGGTTTCTCTGCTACACTTTTAAAGGGAATGCTGCAGTTTTTTAAACCACAAATTAAATTTTTAATGAAACTTCATAACTGTTGTACCCAAATGTAATGCAATATTGATAGGAGCTGTGCATCCAGCTAGCATGAGACTGCCCTAGAAAGCTTTTTAGGATGTTATGCAATATAGAGCTAAATTAATTATTTGTAATGAAAGGATCTGTGTCCCTATAGCATCACAGAGACCTACTGGTACAGAGACCACACTCCCCAATCTCACTGAGTGTAAATGTCAGGCAATTCAGGAGGAAACCGGCTTGTGAGGTGGGAACAAGGAAAACAAGGGAAGGGAAAAGGGGAAGAGAGTGAATGTGTGAGAGAGGGAGAGAGAGAGAGAGAGAGAGAGGGAGAGATCTGCAAAGACTGCAGCAAAATGCAGCAAAATTCCCAACTCCAGTCCAAAGAGTGTCTGTGACAGAAGGGAATACTCCATCTCTCACACAGTATCTGCACTGGCTGCACCCCGTGCCTGAGCTGCTCTACTGACAGCTGTACGGTTTGGAAGGCACAAAAAAAAAAACCAACCAATTTTGAAGGTATATTTTTCTCCAACAGAAGCACGGAGCAGCCGGGGGCTGGGGGCTGGTTCCCTGTGCCCGGTCCAGCTGCAGAAGGAAAAGGCTTTGGAGATGATCCTGCTCCCCCCAAATCTGGGCTCTGCACAGCCGTGCTGTGCCCACACACCCTGCCCTTGCTGCAGTTTCCCGAAGAACAATTCCTCACATTAAAAAAAGACAAAACAACCCCGTAGTCGGGCTTTGAGCCTGCCGGGGATGGGCTGGAGGGGACAGTCCCTCGGGAAGCTGTGACAACAGGGCACAAGCAGCAGCTCCATGCGCAGACAAAGGGCTCCGGGAAGTGTAGCCATCGCTGTTTCCCATTTAAAGCCGCCTTCATCCCATAATGGATCGCATTGTTCCCACTGCAAATGCGGAATCAGCCTCACCCCACAGGAGATGGTTTATGTACAGCAGGCTGCACAAGCGGGAGAGAAAGCTTCCACCGCCTGCTCCCTGGGGCTCCAGCTCCTGGGATTAAAGAGATTTGTCCACTTAAAAAACTGTCCTCTCGGCATTGGTGCTGCTGCTGTTCGCACACAAAGGTTAGAGCGGAGCAGACGGAGATTTACAGCCCTCACCTCTGCACGGGCAGAGGCCACAGCGGCCAGAGCTGCTGGGAGCACCCCGGGCTGTCCACAGCCATCCTCGTCCATCACAAACACAAATGTGCCTGCTGGCTCCCGTTCAGAGCTAWATCATCTCTGAGGGTCCTTGAGAGCTGTGCTCAGCTCTTTTCAGCTACAGAGCCATAAATCAGCTGCTACCGAGCGCTYGGGAACAGGCAAGAGAAGAGTTAAAAATAATAGGGGCTCCATTACTCCATTACAGCCACACAGCTCCTAAATCTACAGAAGCAATAACAGATCCTACTGCATGATTCAGTGATTCTGGGAAAGCTGAAAAGCTGAAATCTTGATCATATTTTCTGGTCCTTTCTTTGCATTAGGAGCCACGGGGGTTATTTTGCTTATCTCTTGTAGCGCAGCTTTGTTGTTTTTTTTTCCCATCCAGGCATTTCCTGGTCTCCATCACCATAGTATCCGAGTGTTTGTTTTATTGCATTTGTCACCTTGGTCTCATCTCCGCATAATGTGCTACGGATGACAAAAGATTGTGAGGGAAATGGGTTCAGTGACACGCTCGGCTCTGTCAGYGCCGTGCAGATGTGAGCAGGAGTGGGACTGGGCTCCGCTGCCTCTCGCACTGGTTCGCACTGGTGCAATTCTATTGCCTGCAGTAACATTATTTTTGGGTTGTGTTCCCGCCTGTGGCAGAAGGATTAGACCTGCAGTCTTTCCATCTCTCCCTTTTGCCAAAAAGCCCCGAACCAAAGGAGCACAGAAGGGAGATTGGTCTGCCCAGTAAATCCCATGGGGTCTGTCCCCTCCTTATCCCCTCTCTGCCCCATTCCTGTCGCGCTGGAACCCAGCTCAGCACAGAGAGCCAGCACCAAGGACAGTAACCAGGGCGATAAAGAGGGAAGAGCCCACTGGAAATGCAGAATTTCCCCCAAATTTCCTGCAGAAAGCACACACCCCACAGGTGAGCAGCACCAGGGGTGGCTCTGAACCACCAGCAGTGACACCCAGGCTCCAAATGACACCCACATCTCCTCAGTGCCCACGAGCACTGGCTCGGGTTGGGTGAGACAGGAACAAAAGCACCACAGGATGCCCATGAGGGTGCCCAGAGGTGCTGRGAGCCCTGGCACAGCTCCTGACCTCGCAGCCACTCTTGTCCCAGCACTGCTCTGAGTTACCTGGGCTGGCATAAACGGGCAGCAGAACATCAGAGGGTTTGCCAGCCTGGCACCTTCCTCCTGCTGGCACCCTGAGCCCCTGAAATGCTGCTTTAACTGTTCAGAGCACAGCTGGATGGGGAAAGAGCCTCCCAAAGGCAGCTCCAGGAGCAAACACTCCACACCACATCAACGTGTCACAAACCTGCYGGGGCTGGAGAAAAACCTGCAGCAGGAAAGGCATGAAAGCAGCCACAGGTACCAGCGACAGGAGCTCAGGGCTCCTCAGGCTCCTCAGGCCAGCTTCAGGCACATCAGAGGGGGAAGGACCATGGAGGGGTCGTGTTTTATCTCTGGCAGATCCATGGACAAAAAGCCTTTGTATTTTACTGACCCACTTCACTAATCAAAATTAATTACTTCATATTTCACAGGATAACTTAGCATTATGTAAATACTCCAGCCATATGGGCTGCTGCAGCTCTGAGCCGAGCTGAGGGGGCCACACTCCCCTTTTACCCCAGCAGGATGCTCTCCAGACCAKGGATGTCCTGTCACAACACAACAGAAGGGGACAAGGACAAAGCCAACAGGCAGGAGAGGCTCAGGGAGCCAGGACAGACTCACTCGTGCTCAGGTGTACTGGCGAAGGGCAGGATGTGGGGAACAAGGGCAGGGGACACTGCTCACTTGCTGCTGATGGAGAATGGGCCTTGGCTGAAGTGCTGAAAATGATAAAAGCGACAATTCCAATGGCTGTGAGCTATTCCCACCAAGGACAGTCCCAGATATTACCTGAGAGGTTTTTTCCCTGATTATTAAGGAAGAAGCAGCGCAGCAACTGTTCCCCTGCACCCACAGAGGAGCTGGGCACTGTCACCAGCGGGAGCTGCTCTGGGGACACGCAGTGACGGGGCCTGTCCGTGCTCCAGCTCCTGCCCCGGGGCCACAGCCCCACAGCCCAGCCGTGCCCTCCCCACCGAGCCCCGGGTGCCTGCGGGGCCCCTGCTCCACGGGGCACCGACCCACGGGGCTGAGCCGGGCACTGCTCCCGGACCGCACCGCCAGGACACCGGCACGGACAGCGGGCACCCACCGGACACCCACCGGGCATCCACGGGACATACACGGGACAGCCATGGGACACACATGGGGCACCCACGGGACATCCACGGGACACACACGGGCACACACGGGCACACACGGGCACACACGGGCACACACTGACACACACTGACACACACGGGCACACACTGACACACACACGGCACACACACGCTCACACACACGCTCACACACACGGGCATACACACGGGGCACACACGGGGCACACACACGCTCACACACACACACACACGGCACACACACACAAACACGCTCACACACACGCTCACACACAGGCTCACACACACACACACACGCTCACACACACACACACGCTCACACACACGTTCACACACACGGCACACACACGCTCGCACACACGCTCACACACGTTCACACACACGGCACACACACGCTCGCACACACGCTCACACACGTTCACACACACGGGCACACACACGCTCACACACACGCTCACACACACGCTCACACACACACGCTCACACACACGCTCACACACACGCTCACACACACACGCTCACACACACACACACACGGGCACACACGGGCACACACGGGCTCACACACGCTCACACACACGCTCACACACACGGCACACACACGCTCACACACACGGGCACACACACGTTCACACACACGCTCACACACACGGCACACACACGCTCACACACACGGGCACACACACGTTCACACACACGGCACACACACGGCACACACACGCTCACACACACACACGCTCACACACGCTCGCACACACGCTCACTCCATCCCCATCCCCACCGCACTCTCCCGGTGCCGCCGCTCCCACGCGGGGCCCCCCCGCCGCAGGCCGGGATTCCGCGCTCCGTGACGCCCGCACGGCCCCGCCCGAGCGCGATAAAAGCGGCGGCGCCGCAGCGGAGCCGAGCCGGCCCGGAGGAGCGGAGCCGAGCGGAGCCATGGCCGCGGGGCCGCCCGGCAGCCGCCTCCTCCTGCCGCTGCTGCTGCTGCTGCTGCTGCTGCTGGGGCCGGCGCTCGGCCAGGGCTTGGGGCAGACGCGCTTCATCTGCACCTCGGTGCCGCTGGACGGGGATGTGTGCGCCGCCTCCGCGCTGGGCACCGGCTCGGCCGAGGAGCTCAAGGGCACCGTGCTGCAGCTGCGGGAGACGGTGCTGCAGCAGAAGGAGACCATCATGAACCAGAAGGAGACGATCCGCGAGCTCACGGCCAAGCTGGGCCGCTGCGAGAGCCAGAGCGTGCTGGAGCCGTCCGGCGAGGGGAAGGGAAGGAAGGGCTTCTCCAAGAACACCATGGGCGACCTGTCGCGGCCGGCCGCCGCCGAGACCCTCAGCCAGCTCGGGCAGACGCTGCAGTCGCTGAAAACCCGGCTGGAGAACCTGGAGGTACGCGAGGAGAGCCGGGGAGCCGCACCGCCGGGCACCGGGAGACGCGGGGAACCGGGGCACCCGCGGAACCGAGCAGGGCGAGCGCGGAGCCGGGCGCCGGGGGAGCCGGGCAGCCGGACATCGGACACCGGGAGATCCGCGGGGCTGGGCACCGGGAGCCGGGAGCCGGTGCCCCGCGGTAACAGCCCGCTCCTCTGCTCGCCCCTTGCAGCAGTTCAGCAGGATGAACTCCTCCAGCCAGACCAACAACCTGAAGGACATCCTGCAGAACAAGATCGATGACCTGGAGAAGCAGGTGCTGTCGCGGGTGAACAGCCTGGAGGAGGGCAAGCTCAACCCCCGCAACGAGTCCGAGGAGCGCGGCAAGATCGAGAGCACGCTCACCTCGCTGCACCAGCGCATCAGCGACCTGGAGAAAGGTACCGGGCGCTGCCCACCCCCGCCCGCGGGACCCCCGGGACCCCCGGGACCCTCCGCTGGGGAGCGGGCGCTGCCGGACGGTGCGGAGCCGCTGCCGCGGGCGGATCTGCCGAGCCCGTCCCGTTGCCCACCCCGGGAGCGGTCCCTGTCCCCGAGCTCTGCTTTCCCCCGCGGCAGGGGRTTGCGAGTGGCCGATCTTTAAGGTCCCTCCCGACCCAAAACCCTCTTTATTCGGTGATCCCAGAGGCCGCCGGTGCCCGCGGGCTCCGCAGCCGAGGATGCTCCGGGCGCTGCCCGCCCCGGGGATTAGGGAGCCGTGCGGTGCCGGAGGGATTTGCTCCTCGCTGCCATCTCAAGGCCCGTTACATAACGGGTGGGGAGGGGGGGAACCCCCAAAGGGACGGAAAGGGGGCCCGGCAGGAGCCCACCGCCCCTGCACTCCCACAGGCCAGAAGGACAACCGGCCCCCGGACAGGTTCCAGCTCACCTTCCCCCTGCGCACCAACTACATGTACGCCAAGGTGAAGAAGAGCCTGCCCGAGATGTACGCCTTCAGCATCTGCATGTGGATCAAATCCAGCGCCTCCCCGGGCATGGGCACCCCCTTCTCCTACGCTGTGCCCGGCCAGGCCAACGAGCTGGTGCTCATCGAGTGGGGCAACAACCCCATGGAGATCCTCATCAACGACAAGGTACGGCCCCAGGGCGTGGGGAGGGTGGGGGGCAGCGTGGGGGATGGACCCCCGTGGGCACCACCCTGACCCGCTGCCCGCAGGTGGCAAAGCTGCCCTTTGCCATCAACGACGGCAAGTGGCACCACATCTGTGTCACCTGGACCACGCGGGACGGCGTGTGGGAAGCCTACCAGGACGGCACTCAGACGGGCAACGGCGAGAACCTGGCTCCCTACCACCCCATCAAACCCCAGGGCGTCCTGGTGCTGGGCCAGGAGCAGGTAAGGGCTGGGGGGAGCAGGGTGGGTGTCCCTGCACGGCCCGGGATGGACGGRGGGACGGACGGGGCCACCCGGCTGTGCCACCCCGGTGACTGGCGGCTCCTCCGCAGGACACGCTGGGCGGAGGGTTCGATGCCACGCAGGCTTTCGTGGGGGAGCTGGCCCATTTCAACGTGTGGGACCGCAAGCTGAGCCCGGGGGAGGTGTACGGGCTGGCCACCTGCAGCTCCAAAGCACTCGCCGGCAACGTCATCGCCTGGGCCGAGACCAACATCGACATCTACGGCGGGGCCACCAAGTGGACTTTCGAGGCCTGTCGCCAGCTCAACTAGGGCCACGGACAAGCGAGAGAAACCTCCTCAGCGGGTTCTTTTATTTATTTTTTTTTCCTCCTTTTTTTTTTTTGCGCAAAAAACAACCGAGAACGAAGCCACCCGACTCGTGCCGGGAGCGGGGATGCCCCGGCGTGGGAGCGCCCGCCCCCGGAGCCCCACGACCCTCCGGTTTCTGTCTTGCCAACGTCCTTCAACGCCTGCGTGCCTTGGCCTGGCGCGGCTGCGCCCCCCCTGCCGCCCCCCCGGCCCGGCCCCCGCTTCGCCGCTGAGCTTTCCTCGGGCTCCGGGGCTCCCGTTTGCCCAGCCTGACCCTCCCGGAGCCGGGGGAGGGTCGCAGCAGCCCCGCCGAGCTGTGCTCCAGCCCGGGGCCGAGCCCTCGGTTGCCCCCCCGGGCGAGCCCCTCGCCCCGTTCCCGGCCGGTGCCCCCGAGCAGCAGAGCCATAGCCCCGGGCTGCGGCGGGCCCGGCCCCGCTCCTGCCCTGCCGCACTCAGGTACCCCCGGCCCCGCCGCCCGCAGCCCCCCGAGGCTCCTACGCGCCGTAGCTGGTGACAAAAAGCCTTTACCGTCCCCTCCAGCCCGGCCCCCACTGACAGGTCTGAAGCCTTTCTGCTTTTGATAATACACTCTCTTKTTTCTCTTACTGTAAAGGGAAGTTTATTACCAATAATAATAAAAAAGGGTATTTTTATGAAGATATAAAAAAAATAATATATAGAATTATCAGTGCTCCCTGAGAAAAAAAAAAGTGCTTTGAGATTCTGCGGGATAAAAAGAGATAAAGAAGCGTATTTTGAGATAACAGATGCATTTTGTATGGTTTCCTTTTCTAAACTCCTGGTTTGTACTACAGATTGCAGAAATCACTCCCCAGCCCCCCTCCTGCCCCCCCAGGGCAGCCCTGGGCTGAGGCAGTGGAGGATGAGGCAGAGAATTCACCCGGGGCTCCAGAGCCTCCCGACCAACTCCAAAGATGCGGCAAAGACGGGCGGAGCGGAGCGGAGCCGGGAGCTCCCTCCGGGCYGGGGACAGAGCCTCGGCTGCCCCGGGACCCGGCCCAGGTGGAGCGAGACCCCTGCACGGCTCCTGGTGCGAGAAAAACCCCCAAAACCATCGAGAGTTAATAATTTGAGTTCCTCCCGAGCCCCTGCTCACATCGGCCACCACAGGCACAACCTGCTGAGAACAGCCAGACCATGGCACAGGTTTAACCTCCAGCCCCAGGTGCGTTGGATTTGCCAAAAAAAAACCACGAAAGGGTGTGATGTCAACGCAGTGTACATAGTGTACAGTAGGGGAGAGAATTAATGTATCTTAATTTGTCATTATTTTGCCAACCAAAGCTGTACATTTTTCCTACTCCCGGCTCTGTCTCCTTTGGGATTTGAAGGGGTTTTGACGCCCCGYGCATCCAGCCCGCATCGGCAGTTCTGACAATGCACTGTTTCTACGGATTCTCATGCTTTTTCCATTTTATTGCTGGGATTACATGAATTGTTGACTTTATTTTTACACAATAAAGCGTGAAGAAAGACACCGGGTTCTCTCACATGTGTCTGTTTCCTCAGCAGCCAGGAGCTCCTCTTTTTTTTTCCACAGGAAGGTTTTTTTGCCTACATGAAGCAGGAATTTCTGCACTGTTCCCTTGGAGCTGGCTCAGGCGCTCCCTGAGCCTCTCTGCCAGGCTGTCTCCTTCTCCTCTACCCTCAAGCCACGTCTTTCCCTGCTTTATGTAACACACCACACAAACCCGTGTGTTTTTTTCCCCAGGATAGCGACTGGAAGCTCCCTTTGGGTTCTGCCGGGCTGGTGCAGGGACAGTGGCACACTGGGGGCTGTGCAGGGAATGTTCCCGGTGTGGGCACCACGACAAAGCCCCGCTGTGGGCACCGGCACCGCTCCCTCCCCGCTCCCTCCCCGCTCCCTCGGGGCCGGGCTGGGCTCCAGACGCCGCCGTTCCTGGAAGGCAGCGCTCCCGGGGGAATCTGAGAGCGCTCCCGGGGGAATCTGAGAGCGCCCGGAGGCCACCGCAGTGCCACGGGCACGGGACAGGCTGGCACTATGCCCTCAGTGCTGTCCCCGAGTGCTGCAGCTTCCCCCGTCCCACACCCGGCCCAGGAATTGCCTTCAGCATCAAAAAAAAATCATCGCTTAGTGCTCGTAACCAGCCCAAAGCAATCTCACACAAAAATCTCACACAAAAATCTCACWCAYGATCCCCCTGTGACACCCCATCCCTGCAGCATCCCGGGTGGATCCAGCCTGGGGGCACGGGCAGGACGTGGGGACAGCAGCATCCCCTTCCTTCCTCCGTCAGGGCAGGACACGGTGCCAGCCCTAAGGGACACGGCTGGAGCCCAGCAGAGCCCTCGCTGGTGCCATCAGCTCCCAGGGCTGGCAATGGTCACAGGAAGGGTCACAGCAGTGGCCCCAGTGAGGGGACAGTGATGGCCACGGTGAGGTTGGCTCCTGGGGCTGCTCCAGGATGCCCCAAGCCAGAACCAGGAATCAAGGGATCATGGCAAGGCAAGGGAGATGTTTTGAKCCAGACTGCAGGGCTGGGAACCCGGAGTGTTTTCTCACACCCAAAGGCACAGACAGGAGCAGAGTGACAAGTGCCRGGCACCCTGGGGAGGGGACAGGCATCAGGAACCTTCTGGGGGCAAGAGGAAAGGTGACACAYGACAGCTGAGTGTGACATGGCACCGTTCCATCACTCCCACGGGGTTAGAGAGGCGGCAGGACAGGGTGGGCAGTGATGAGGGGGCACAGCAAGCACTGAAGAGACATTGAGGAGAGATCCCCCTCCCTTTCCTCAAATCCCCCCAGTGCAGAGGGGCTCCGAGCAGCGTCTCTCCAGCCTGACAAAGGCAGCAGCACCACAGAGCCCCCGGAGCAGCTCAGCCCTCGCTGGCAGCTCAGACACCACAGCCCCCCCGCCCCCAAAAAGCAGCTGCTCCAAGGACAGGCTGCTGGGCTCCGTGTCACTGGGAACAGCCTACATCCTCCAAGGGATGCTATTTATACCCAGGGAACGGGCGGCAGCTCCTGCCTCGCTCTCAGCCCCCAGCCCCAAGCAGGGCCCTGGCCCTGGTGCTGCCAGAGCACCCTCGGCCCTCCCYGAGCTGAGGAGAGACCCCAGGAGAGGGGAGGAACCCCCAGCCAGAGGCTGCTTCTGCTCTGCAATCTGAACTGCAGGARCAAAATCACGCTCACAGGCGTTCTGGGGTTTTTCTGGGGATCTGGCAAACGCTGCTGTGGTGGCAGTGGGGCTGTCCCACACCCCAAGGCTGTGGCACAGCCGGGGCAGGGCAGGGGAGGCTCTGGGTGGCACGGGGCTGATGGCACCCACAGGGTGACAATCCCCAGCTCTTCACCCTCCGGGCTCCGCGGGGCTCTGAGGGACCCTTGGACTCCTCTGAGTCCCCAAAATCCCGTGGGTACGGAGCCCTCATGGTGCAGCGAGCTCAGGCAGCGAGAGGAGAGGCAGAGCGGCGCCAGCCAAGGCCATCCCTGTCCCTGCCTGTCCATGTCCCTGTCCGTGTCCCCGTCCCAGCCCGGCACTGCAGCATCTCCAGGCACCACCCGTGTGTCCCACCCGCGGCAGCAGCGCCGGCCCCTGAGGAGGGAAGGCGGATCCTGGGAGAAGAGAGGAGAGGAGAGGTGAGGAGCAGCCCGGAGCATCCATCGCACACCGTCCGGACACCGGGAGCTGCTGCTCGGGGCCGGGAGCCGCTCGGTGGCACCGGCTGTGCCGGAACAGCCAGCCCCGCAGCGCCGGGATCAGGGAGCGCCTTCCCGCCCCGGCGCACTAAATCCAGGAGCTTTTAGAGCAGCAGAGCAGATGGAGATCTTGGGCTGCGTGAGGACAGGCCCCAGGACTCGGGAGATGGCTCAGAAATACCGACGGGGGCGAGGGAGAGTCCTTAAGGGCAGGACACAGCTGGGATTTACAGCTCTGATCCGGCTCCTCTGGAGACTCACATGGCAGGGGAAACGCCTCGCCGGGCACTYCGCATCCATCCCGGCACCTCCTCTGTTCCCCCCGCTCGGGACAGCTCCTCCGAGGGCTGCGAGGGGTGACRGGAGGTGATGGCGAGATGAAAAATWAAATCTGCTGTGTTTTACAGCGTAACACCCCCGAAAAACGGAGACGGCGTGTCCTGAAACGGCCTTTCGCACATCCCCGGCTGCACGGGAGCGCCCGGGGCCGCCTGCGAGCGGAGCTGCCTGCGGCACTGGGACCGCCACCGTCCCACAGCATCATCGGCACGCAGCGCCAGGCACTTAATCAATGCCGTTGTAGGATTAATTAGCAGTGGATGTGTCACGCCTTGCGCCCCGGCTCCCGGAGACCCCGATTAAATATGCATGAGGCGGGGAGCGGGKGGAGAACCCCCGAGCAGAGAGAGGGCTGTGCCGGGGACACCGCGGCGATGTCGGGCACGTGGCTGCAGAAATCCCTCGGTCTGCGCTCCAGAACGGGGGAGCGGTGAAGGGAGAGACATCGCCGTGGCCAGCGCGGAGCCCGGCCGGGGCTGGGGCAGCGTCCTGCGGGCTCCTGGGGGTTCCTGGGGCTCCTGGGGCTCTGCAGCAGCTCCAACAAGAGCTCCCCGAGCAAGGGCAGTGGGGTTAAGCCTGCGCTGGACACTGCTGACGGAGGGTCCTGAGTGCCAAAAGCCACCCGAGGCTCCCCAGAGACACCACGGGGCTCCAAGGCKGGCACGGGGGGAGGAGGAGAGCAAAGAGATGGGCAGCAAACACCGCACCCGGCAGGGCTGGGGGCACATGGCGGTTTGGGGAGGGGAAGGATCGGATGGATCCCTGTGTGACAGGACGGAGGGAGCAGAGCCCCGGAGCTGCCGTGGCCGGAGCACGGGACCGGCCGGGGCACTGCAGGCAGCTGGACACCACCCCGGGCACCGAGTCAAGGCCGACAGACCGTTCCGGTCACAGGCGTGAGTCACTGGCTGTGACAGTGKCCCTCAAATGCCACTCAGGAGCCTTTGCTGGCAGAGCACGGGTTCGTACAGCCCGAGGCGCTGCCCGGGCATCCTGGCCAGCTCAGCCGGGAAGGGGCTTCCTCCAGCCCTTCTTGCCCCCGGGGAAGCCAACCAGACCTGGCCAGGGCCACTYGGAACCGGCAATTCCAGAGCAAACATTGCTTTTCACACCCTGCAGCCTCTCCAAGCCTTCCCCGGGCAGGGCTGACCCCAGGGAGCAGCAGGGGGACCCCATCTCTCCCCCCGAGGGGCTGGGGCTGCTGGGAACACGGGCCTGCCCCTCCTTTTTGCCTTCTCAGAATATTTTCACAGCCTTTTCCCGGGCTCCTCCTCCTCCTGCGATTTTCCCAGCTGCTGCTGTCAAACGTCACCTTGGCAGCTGCTGCCTCCATCCATCCATCCATCCCTGCGCTGATGGATTATGGACGGGCTGGGACCCCAGCGAGGGGCTCTGGGCAGGCCCTGCTCTGCCTGGAGATCCCGTGAGGGACCCCAACCCCATCCCGGGGGCACAGAGGGGAATAACTCATCTCCCAGCACAGGGTCCCCAAAAGCCCCGCTCCGCCTCGGGAGAGCCTGTGGGGGAGCACGGAGCAGAGGAAGACTCTGTCTTCCAAAGCTGATTAAAAATAGATTCAGCATCAAGCTAATGATGCTGATTAATTAGCATTTGTGGGACAGAGTGGGCACAGGAGGGGGCACACGGGGAGCAGTGGGTGCTGCAGCGGGGTCAGAGCCCACTCTGTGCTGCCCCAGCACCCCCAGTTTCTCCCGGGTTCCCTGTTCTGTCCGGGACTGGGGGCACCGGCGCATTTGGGGGGTCCCCGCGCCCCCACTTCCCTCCCTGCCAGCAACAGATGCCCAACTCCACAGCGCTGCTGGAAATGAGGTCAGCGATCGCCTGCAGSAGATCGGAGCGTGGCTCATCCTGCCGCCGGTGGGAGATGCCACCCCCGAGCCGGGGCAGGGCGGGCAGGAGCCACGGAAAGGTCTGGATCAGTTCTGGATCAGCCCCGAAACCCCTCCCGCAGGGATGCAGGGCTGTGAGTCAGCGCCTGTGGAAGCTGGGCAAGGACAGAATCCCCCAAACATCCCCCACACACCCCTGGAATCTGCCCCCCGACACCTGAGGGGTGTAAAACTGCACAGGGACAGCGCGGGGCTGATGGATTCCTTCTGGGAAGCGGAGCAGGACCCGCAGTGCCACASTGACGGTGCCCACTCCCAGCTCACCCCAGCCTTTCCAACCCCCAGTGCCTCTCCCTGCCCAGGGACTGGGGTTTGTGGAGGGGATTCGGCTCAGAAACAGCGCCCGGACAGGCTGGGATGTTGTCCCCAAGGCACTGGGATGTCMCTGGCACCGGGGCCGCAGGTTCTTGCTCGTGCCTGAACCACACCAAATTAATTAGATGCCAGTTTACTGCGAACAAAGAGCGGACAGGTGGCATTTACCTGGCACAGTAATTGATACCCAGCCATTTGTTGCAGTAGCCTCATTACATGCCAGCTGGATTTGCACACYCTCCCAATCCCAGTCATTCCAAAGCAGGTTTGTGCGTTAATCAGAGTGTTTAATCCCGCTTTAATCACGGYGCTGCCCACCAGCACAAAGCCCCCGGGCTGATCACAAACCCTGAACGCTCTCCCGACAATCGCGGGGTGTTTTATCGGGAGGACACCGAGGAGCGCTGGCACAGGAGCAGAGCCGGTTCCTCCYTTCCTTCTCCTCCCCGCAGATCCTCTCTCCATCCCGGGCCTGGCTGATCACCTCCTCCTCCTCCTCCCCAGCGCAATCAGGAGCTGTTCCTTCCCCACAGAAACATCTCCAGTCACAACAGGAGCCGGGAGATGCCGGGCAGAGCCTCCCCCGCCGGCTCGGGGCTCTCTCGGCTGCCCCCAAAAATCACAAAATCCCAAACCCGGATCGCACTGGAGCTCCCGGCAGCAGCAGTGACCAGCTGGGCTCTGCAGGCACAGGCACAACGAGCCAAGAGCCAGTCCAAGAAAAGCAGGRAAAAGCGTGTTCCTAAGGAAACATCCTGCGTGGAGCCCCCGGGGTGGGCACTAACCCAGCAATTCAGCACGGGCTGCTTTCATTGCCGGGTTTGGGGTTTTTAAAGGTGTTTTGGGCTGCCAGGATGGGGACAAGGCAGTGCCAGCGTGTCCCCATGGAAGGACCYGGCTCATGTGGGACCTCACGGAGCACCCATGGGTGGGGCTGGGGGCTGCAGCCCCCTGGAGCAGCCACCCCCTGTCACCCCAACCATCCCTGCTCAGCAGCAATGGCTCCTTGGCCACCAAAATCCCACCCAGGAGGCCAAGAGGGGAAYGGGGCACCCTCCATGTGCCCCCTCTCAGCCCCCCAACAGGACAGATCTGTGCCCCACAGATCTGAAAAGTGCCACCACCCTTGCTTTGGGCAGAGCTCTGCACGAGCTGCTCCATCACCCYGATGACACCGCTCATAATCATCTCATTTGCTATTAATTCGCTTGTCAAGAGAAATTCCACTCATTTGCTTTTAATTAATGGGGCCTTAAAATAAAGCCAGGGGGCTGGTGGGGTTCTGGTGAGAGGATCAGGGAGGATCAACTGACACCAACAACTGGAAGAGAAGTTGGGCTGCAGAACTATTTATAGGACAATGTTCTTGCAAAAGAAAAAGAAAAAGAAAAAAAAAAAAAAAAAAAAGAACGAAAGGACAAAAAAAAGAAAAAAAAACCAAAAAAAGAACAAAGAAACCTGCAAGGGAGCCATGATGTTCCCCAGCTCCCTCTGCACACCCAGGCTCTGTCCAGGAGCCACCACATCCAAGAGGCCTCAGCTGCCACCGASGGGACCAACACTAAAAATGCCCATTTAGAGCCAGAGCTGGGGCCCAGAATGCTCTGAGAGCCAAGGGACACATCTGCCCCAGCCAGCCCCACAGCACCAAATGCTCCAGGAATGTGGATGGGAGGGGAGGGGAGGCTGCTTGGCCAGAGCTCCACATCAGTGGGAGCACCCAGACCACGGCTCTGGACCTGCTTTGGGGAGTCAGGAGGGAAACAGCCCCTCCTAAACCCACCCAACCAAGCCAGAGGGAAAAGGAATGAGAACTGGGGGCAGGGAGGGGGGAAATCCCAATAAAACACTTCCCCCGTCCTTGGCAGGAGTGTCCCAAAATACAAACCCTGAGTCAGAGGAGCTCACACWGCACCTACACTGCTCCAGACACGGAGGTGGGAGCTCATCCCAGCCAGCCCCAGACACCTGCCACGGAGCTGCTCAGCCAGGCTTCCTCCAAGCTCACACAACACATGCACATTCATCCTAAAGCAGCTCCTCTCCCTTCTCCAGGGCTCCCAGACAAACAAGGCAGGTGCAGGGATCCTCCTTCCTCATCTCCACATACAACTGAAGGAACAGTTGCAGTCTGCAGCAGAACCACTTGGCAGCTGAGAGTCAGGAAACCCAATCCAATTCTGTCCCAATTTATCACCCAGGAGCCACCACTGGGACACACATCCCTGCTCCAGCCCCACAGCTCTGAGACCAAGCCCTGAGCCCCCCAACCAGCCCCAGATGGAAATGGTGCTGAGAAAACCCCCATGTGATACCAAGAGGATTTACAGCCAGTCTGCAATGAAGGTTTTCCTCTGATTCCCAACAACTTAACACCCAGAAAAGCCAGTTTGCAGCAAGCAGAGAGTTAAAAAGACAAGCCATGGATGAGTTTACTTCGAAGGACACTCAAGCTTCAGTCTCTGAGTTTCTATTAAGAGGTTTCGAGCATTACAAAGCGATTTTCCCTTCCCAGGGTTATAAACCAATTAGATAAAGACCAAGTTAATCCCTTATTGTGTCCAAAGAGCCACAAGCAGACACCAAACACAGAGATTAGTCCTTTCCTTTAAGCACCCCGCGTTTGGGCAGCTGGGAGAGCATCCCACGGCACAGACAAACCCCAAACCCAGAGCACAGAACCCCTGTGTTCTGTAGGGGAGGCTGCCAGGACACTGCAGCACCATCCTCCTCCTAAACCCTCCCCAGGTGACTTAATCCAGAGTCACCCGAGTTTACCTGGGCTCAGAACGAGAGGAGTTCAGAGCCTCACGCAGAGGGGAGCKGGGCCAGTGATGCACAGCCATGTGCTTGCTCTTTTTTATGCTGGTTTTTTTTTTTTTTACCTGATCCTTCCTCACCCCCCGGCAGAGGCAGCTGGGGGGGCTCAGGACAGCAGAGGACAGAGGTGTCCCCAGCCCTGGGTCCCTCACAGGATGAGCACAGATGGGATGGGAACAGGGAGATCCCAGTGGGGAGGGGGCACARCCACAGCCCCACACTCCTGTCAGGCACTGAACTCAGCTCCTGGAGCTTCCACAGCCTCCCCTCACCCCAAATCTCCCACTGTCAAACGCCAGCTAGAAGCACAAAAAAAAATCACCAACAGATCAGGGATTAAAASCGCAGATATTAAAGATAAAACATGAGATTAAACCCAGACACATAGMCAGGGCAGGAGCAGCCACAGTCACACATGCTGAGGGTTCTGTGCTCTCTGGGGCCATCCTGGAGGAGCTGCTCCCCATGGAACCTCCTCCAGCAGAGCTGAGCCAAAACAGGGGCTTCATTCAGTACTCCAGGGTCAATCTGCAGTGAGAGTGGTGTCACTGGAATTTGGAACCAGCTCCCTGTGGCCTCCCAGCACAGGCCAAAGCAGCCAGAAAACCTGGATGGATTTCTCCGGTGTTCTGCCCACCAGGTCTAGGAAGAAGCTGTTCCCTGCCCACACTGTGTCACTTGTGTCTGAATTTGTGACAGGCTTTAGAAACCGTGCCCATGGTCACTGGAGTGGCTGGTTTGTGGAGGCTGGGATGAGGAATGAGCTGATCCTGCTGTGGCTCTGTGCCCACCCTGCTCCTTGGGACAGGGACACGGCAGAGGAGGTTCTGTGTCCATGGAGGGAGGGGACAGGGCTGTGCTGGTGTCCCCTCGTGGGGTGGGGTGGGATGGGCTGTCACCCACACACAAACCCTGCAGTGAAACACTCTGATGCTGCAGCTTTGGCTTTGAAAGGGTGGCAGAGAAGGTTTCTTTGGGAATGCCCTGTCAGTGCCCATCCCCTGCTCCACCCTGCCCAGSACCAGCCCCAGGGCTGCCCAGATGGGCCCAGGGGAGCAGGGTTTGTTCTTTATCCCATCCCAGACCCCGACACAGCAGAGGCAAAAGGGGCTGGGCTTTGTGCTCCCCCCCAGAGCAGCTCTGAGACACAGAAAAGAACAACAGAAGTTGTACAACAAATTTATATAAAATTGAGGTTAAAACAGCCCACARGAGCCTGACCTGAGCACCCTCCCCAGCCCCAGGAAAGCAATCTTCTTCCTCTCCAGGCTGCGATCTTACACATCAAGGACTTCCAGAGCACCTTCTGCTGCTGCTGCTCTTTGGGAACAGCCAGGACCCACCTGCAAACCCAGCCAGGACCCCACAGCTTGGCAGGAGAAGCTCTGGCCCTGCAGGCTGGACAAGGGGTGAGGAGGATTTGGGCACAGCTCTGGGCTCTGCTCCTCAGGCCACAACTCCAGCCTGGGATCTGTTCCTGGAGTGCTCTGTCAGGAATGACATCTCTCCCTCCCTCCTGGGGACAGAGGATTTCTCCCACCCTCTCCCCTGCCATGATCCTTCCTTCAGGAAGAGCTGGGCAGCAGGGCTGTCCAGCCAGAGCTGGAACTGGGCTTTGCTCCCCAGGAACCCAGAGGGACTGGGAGAGCCCAGGGACAGGGGGAAGCTGTTCCAAAAACGACAGGAAGGGAGGTCTGTGTGCCACAGAGGTGTGGTGGAAGACTCCACCACTCTGGAGTTGAAATGCCCCAACATCTCTTTGTAAATCACCTCCTGCAGCTGCCCAAGCGAGGTGTTGCAAACTTAACGTGAGCTTTTGCTTACACAAAGATTTTGACAATTAAAAACAAACCCTGAGGAATTCCCTGCAGGGACTGTCCCTGAGCAGTGGCTGTGCTGTCCTGAGGGGCACAGCCTGGCACAGCTGTCCCTCAGGGTGGCATTGGGCTCCCTGGTGCAGGAGAGGATCCAGTGAAGAGGAGCTCTGCAGTTTTTGCTGGCATCAGACTAATCCTCCAGTTCAGCCTCCTTTTCGCTGCTGGGAACAACAAGAAAGACTTAAAAATGTAGAAACCAACAACCCCAAACAACTGGCACTTAGGGACTGAGGAGTTCAGCCACAGAGGGTGTGAGACACGGCCCCAGATGGAATGGGTGTGGGGGGCACTCCCGTCCAAAGCAGGGTGAGCTGCAGCACTGCCCTGGCAGGGCCTAGAGATGARCTCCAGCACACACTGGGGACCTTGGCCGTGCTGAAAAGTGCCACCAGAGCAGCAGAGAGAGCCCCTTGTCCTGCCCTGGGTGCATAACTCAAAGAACAGAGGAGCTGATCACAATCCAGCACCATCCATGTGTCCTAAGGACCTCAGCCATACCAGTGTTAATGCCCCAGTGCCACCACGAGCCACATTCTGGTCCCTCAGAGCCCTGGCACACCAGGCTCACCCCGAGCAGCTCCTGGGCAGAGCTCCCCAGTGTCAGTCCAGCCTGGCCTGGGCTCAGGGAGCCCAACACTCCTGTGAACTGCCCTGGAGAGGCAGCACAGCCACGGCACGRGGAGCTCCTCAGTGGGACCTGCCGTGGATTTACCCCTGAACTGGCACCATTGGCCCAGGTTATGTAAAAGCAGGGGACTCTGACCCTCCCTGAGAGCTGGGGGCTCAGGCCAGCTCCTGCAGGTATTTCTGTTCACCCTCAGCTCACACCTGTGGGCGGCAGGGCTTTGCTTGTGACCCGTGCTGAAAAAAGAGCAAATCCCCTGTGCCCTTCCCCAGCTCGGGACACGGCGCTGTCGGAAGCAACGTGTGAGGCAGCGTGGCCACAGGGAGCAGAAATCACCTTGGGGAGCAGCACATGGCCTGATCTCCTCACTGAGCTCACCTTGTTACCCTGCCTGTACCTTTAATGCCATTAGTGCAGCTCATTCTGGGAGCAGATCCCCTTTTGGCCGCACACCCACCTCTCTGGGCTGGCAGGGACAGCCTCCAGCACCTCCAGCGGAGCACAGGGCTGCTTCCTGAGGTACTCCCTCGATCGAATGTCAGCCTGGAATCGAGAGGAGAGTGATGAGAATGGGCTGATCAGCCTGGCTGGTGCCTCTCTGCCACCCCAGTGTGCCCCAGCCACCCTGCTGCCAGCACAGGAACAGGGACATGTTCCACCAGGAACAGGGCATGGCTCCRTGCCACAGCAAGGCAGGACAGCCTGGGGCAAGGACAGCACCAAGCACATCCCAGGAGCTGTTAGAAAGCATTGCTGGGCATTTATTGGGTGTTCTCACCCTCCTCAGAGGTGTTTGCTCAGCTCTCCAGTGCTGCACACCAGCAGCAGACCCTTGATGCCATCACAAGCACCTCCCGGGCTCTTGGACAACTCTGAGGATTGGCAGTTGATTTTTGCAGTCCTTCAAAGTTTTTTTTCTCTTTTARAAACTCCTTTCCCAAGCAGGCTGCTGTGCCATTTCCGAGCAGCTGCTGTGCCCACCTCAAAGGCAGAGTGTCTGTCCCCACTCACAAAGCAGGATGTGACCTTCCCAGCTGGAGAAGCTTCAGTGTCTGGTGACGACGCTCAGAAAGTGGGTTAACACATCCCTGGGGACTGTCCTTGAAGCATCTGCTGCTCTCCCCACTGTGCTGCTCCCGAGGAGCCTCTCCTGCAGCCCCCAGGCCCCTCACCCCGAGCCCCTGGCAGAGGCTGTGCCTGCTGCTGGAACCTGCTCCACAACTGCAGAGCCTCCTGAGAAGGAGAGAGTTACATAAGGGGTGGTTTGTTTGGGAGATTTTTTTTCCCTTCTCTCTATAATTGGACAGTTTCATAACTGAACTGACAAATAACTTTGATCACTCTTCAGGATAAGCGATTACGTGATGGATTTTATAAGCAGGGAAGGAGGCTGCTCGATAGTCCCCACGGGGACACCAAGGAGCAGGAGGCACAGCTACAAACCATTTTTCTAGGGAAGAAAAACCCCAACCACGTTGTGCTGAGAAAATCAGCTTGATGAGGTGGCATTTCCCAGGCAGGGCTCAGTCCTAGCACAGCGCCGGAGTCAGCTTAGCGTGGCGATTAACCACGGCCTAATCAATAAGATGGATCACTGTCCTGCTATAATCCACACAGATCTGGGCTATTTTCAGAGGGGACGAGTGCTGCCTGTGGAATTTGTGTTTTCTGAGGGGCCAGGGTGGTCCCTGTGCACAGCAAGCTTGGAAGAGGTGCCCAGAGGGAGCTGGAGTCTCAGCGCAGCAGTGACTGATGTCCAGTCTCACAGGAGGGGCTGATGCCTTGTCTCATTCTCCTCAGGGCAGGGGTTCAGTGTTTCACACAAAGAGGGACCTGCAGGCCTCTTTCTGTCCTTCGTGCTGGGCTGGAGCCACCCAGGCTGTCCCAGCAGCCCTGTCCTGAGCCAGCCCAAACCCGCTGGGCACGGGGCAGTGGAAGCTGAAGGAATCACCAAGTGAGCAGCAGSAGGATGGTGAGCAGGCAGCCAGGAACCCGACCCAGTGAGAGCAGAGCAGGCTCCCGGTGCCATCCCTGGCAGCTGGGGACTGGCAGCAGCTCCTGCTGYCCTGCTGGGCACAGGGATCCTGGRAAGGGGCAGRGRCAARCACCAGAGYRGGTCGGATCTCTACCATGAGGAGGGAAGRGCAGCTCCCTCAGCAGAGCTTGGGATGGCTCCAGGGCCACTCAGGGTGAGGGTTGTGCTGGTGGCTCTGGGATGGCAGCTCCTGCCTCCCCCATCACTGCCTGGGAGCTCTCCTGGATGGGCCTGGCACGTGGAATGGGATGAGATGTAAATACTGATTGCAGGTGACAAGGGCCATTCACCCCTCTGCTTCCTCCGAGAGATCACTGCTCTCATCTGCACCACAGCCACTTCCTTGGCAGCACAGCCACGCTGTGGGCTGAATGCAAATCAAACCATTCCTGCTCCTGCCTGGAGAGTGCTGCACTCCTGGGAAACACCCAGCCCCTAAAGCTGGGAGTTCCACAGAGCTGCACTGCACATGCTGCCCTCACCCCAACCACAGCCTCACCCTCAGGAGCTCGGGCCAGCTGAGCTCTCACAGAACATTTTCCTTCCAGCCCTGCCAGAACTTCCAAACCAGGACCTACTGATCCACAGGTCTTTCCTAACACTGGCAAATCCATAAGCACTTCACCCATCAGGTCTGCAAGCTAATTCTGGGGATATATCATGGCAAAAAGGCCAAGTGAGCCACCCCAGCAGGATTCTCCACAGCCTCCTGCTTCCCAGCTCCAAGAGCTGAGGCTTCAGCTCTGCCTGTGCCAAGATGTGTGGCAGTCACCACAGAGGAAGTGCAGCAGGGACAAGTCCCATGAAAAGGTTTAAATGTCCTCATCTCCTGCTATCCCTCTAGAGTAAACACACTCTCCTGTTGGATTTTTCATCCCTCTGTAARAAAAGTGATAATAATTCATTCCATCACTCTAAGGAAAAGGTCACAGAGAACTGCAAGAGTCTCCAAACATGAGCAAATCCTGGAGATAGCTGGAAGCGAAATGAGGGTGATGAAAAGCTCCAAGACACCTTTTTGTTTCCAAARGGAATGCTTCTCCCCTGCCTTTGAACACGCTGAGCTGCAGAGCTGGCTCAGAGCTCTGCAGAGGCATCTGTCCCTGGCTGGAGCAGGTTACATAAGGAACTCCACCAACCTCCCCAGGCTGCCAGGTACTGGGGCTGAGACTGGAAACTTTACCTCTGCTGTGGACACCCCAAGGCTCATTTTGCTCCTGGGAGTAAGATTTTGGGATGGTTTGTAAGTAGAGACTCAGTTCCAGGGAACACTGCAGCTCTGGAGCGGCTCCCAGGAGGATCACCCAGAGCTGCCCCGGGGGCTGCTCAGGTGGGCACACCCCTGACCCCACCAGCCCTGCATGGCAGTGATGCCAATGGGCTGTCCCAGGGCAGAGTTAGGGACAGGGACACCCGGGCAGRCCCTGGGGTCACTGCTGGCTCTGGGCTGTGGAGCCACCAACAGTGGAGTGACCTTGGGGAGAAGGGGAGCACTYGACAGGCCAGAAGTCCCGGAGCCTTCGAGCGTCCCCAGAGCCTTTCCCCAAGTTGTGCTGCGATTTTATCAGCCAGGGCTGAGCTCGGTGACAGTGATGCAGTGCTGTCACCTGCTGGCTGCTGGCTCCATGCAGCAGCAGGAAAAGCTCAGAGGAGCAGCACTGCGGGCCGTGCTGGGCTCTAAGTGCCCAGAAAACTGCATTCCTGGCTCCTGGGGAATAACACCAGCATCCCAGGAGCTGTCTGCAGAGAGGACGCAGGACATCAGTCAGGGCTGGGAATGCTGCCGGGCACTGCGTCAGGAGAGCAGCCATGCAAGGAWCAGTGAATTCCCACAGGAACAGCCCAGCAGGAGGGTGTCAGCAGCACACGAGGGGCGAGCTGAGGCTCTGAAGAGCCCCACAAACAGCGCTGGTGTCAGTACCTGGCGGATGGGCTCCGGGATGCGGAAGCGGCAGCAGGCTCTGACGAGGCGCACGGCYGTGCCCAGGCTCACCCGGTGGCCCACGGACACGTAGAGGGGCCTGGAGCTCTTGCTGTGGCTCCGCAGCACCTGGGCAGGCAGACAGAGAGATCAGGCACTCAAGAGGCTCATTTGAACACACCCAGAGAGGCAGGGGAGTTAGGAGCCAGCCAGAGCCCTCCGATGGGGTGGTGGCTCTGTGTTTGCAGCTCCCAGCTTTCCTGAACATCATCTCCACCCCAGTGTCTCCTCCAGGCACTGTTTGTCCCTCGTGGCCCTTCCCTGGYGCCTCAGGCTGCTCTGGCTCAGGGAGATGTGCCAGGACAGGCTGACAGCACACAYAGGAAGTGTCTTACAGCTGCGAGCTGCCGGCCTGCTCTGAGCCAGGCGCTCCAGACAGATCCCAGGAGGCTGCCAGGAACTGGCACCTCTCCCAGACTGTGCCTCACAATCCAGGGCGCTGCAGCACCTCAGGTGCCACAGCCATGGGCATGAATGTTCCCAACACCCGAGCTGCCAGCTCCCTAGAGCCACCTGAGCTCTCAGGAAGGGCCCAGCAGTGTCACTGCTCACGTGGTCACACCTGATCCCCCCAGATCACTGAGACAGCCCCCCTGAAGACAGTGACAAGTGGCCAAGKGACAGTTTACCATGCCCAGGACTTTCCCCGAAGTGCCAGTCAGTGGGAATGTATCTCCTGGCCTCTGCAGGGAMCGGACCTAGGGATGAACACACACAAGGTCAGGCCATCGGGACATAATTGCATGGGGCTGCCCAAATTCCCTTAGATATTAAAAACCAGAAATAAATCCCAGCTYGGCCTAACCTGCTCTCTGTGCAGCTCGTCCCTGACCAAGCCATCCACCTGCAGGAGGTTCTTGGCCACCCCAATGCACGGCAGATCTGTCAGGACTCCGAGGTGACAGGCTGTGCCAAATCCTGCCAACAACGAGCCACTGTGGCTGCAGGACTCCAGGGAACAGCAGCACAGGGAGCAGGGCTCTCCAGGAACAGCCTACCTCTGGGATGGAGCAGGCCATTCCCATCTACCAGAAGCACCTGAAAAAGCCAAAGCAGGAGTGTTATTTCCTGGGCACTGAGAGCTCTCCAAGGAGCAAACAGGGATGTTGGCTTTGGGGGAAATCTCTCCTGGTTCTTCAGTTTTCCTGTGCCTGTGTGTGCCCCTAAAGCAGCAGCAGTGTGGGACTGGCAGTGCCCTGCACACACCAGTGCCACAGGAGGCCTGGCTGCTGCCAGCTCCACATCCCTGCTCCCCAGGGAAAAGGAATGGATGCTCCACCACAGCTCTGACCCCATCCCTCCTGCCCCACCAGCTCAGGCTCTGGAGGGAGAACMCTTTTCACAGGATTCTGTACACAGAACACCCCAAACCGGGACAAGGAGAACACACCAGACCTGGGGCTGGAGCTGGGGCTCCTCCTGCTGAAGTCTCTGGACAGCTTCCACCAGGACAGGAACCTCTCGGAACGCCAGGAATCCGGCCACGTACGGGGCAGTGACGGGCACCATGCGACAATCCTGGTACAGCACCTGCAGCAGGCACAGACAGCAGCTCGGGATGTTCCAGAGGCTCCTGCTCTGGTCCATGGCCCCTCTGCTCATCCCTTCTGAACCCAGGGACAGGTCAAAGGAAACCCTGCAAGGCAGCACAAAAATCTATTCCTGCCTTGCCCTGCAGATCACAGCAGGACTTGAGATTCAGTTCATTAAAATCCCAGCAAAGCATCAAACTTTATTTCTCTGCTTATTAGAGCTTTTACAGTTAAAGATAATTTTTATATCATTTTGAAAGCTGGGAGAGAGACCAAAAATCTTCATTAGTTCAAGTAAAACGAGTGTGTGCTGTGAGATCCATGGTGGGTCTGGAAAAGCTTTCCTGTGTCACATATCATGTTATCAGATGATTCCCAGCAAGAACTCACCCAGGAAACTCTGCCCTGGAGCACTACAAACCCCTCCCTGTGTCCACCAACCCCCCTGAACAGACYCTGCAGCTGCCTCTGGACCCTGGGTGAGTTCCCAGCCATCCCACAGAACTCCTGCAATAGGGAGCTGTGTCTATCACACCTTCCTCAACTTATGTCTAAATCCTCACACATTGTTTTTCTGTTTATCCTTCTTGGGAACACACAATTGGACGATTTGCTGAACATACACGGAATCACAGACTCATGGAATGTTTGGGTTGCAAGGGACTTTAAAGCTCATCCAGTGCCACCCCATCCATGGCAGGGACACCTCCCACTATCCCAGGGTGATCCAAACCCAATATCCAGCCTGGCCTTGGGCACTGCCAGGGATTCAGGGGCAGCCACAGCTTCTCTGGGCACCCTGTGCCAGGGTTTCCCCACCCTCCCAGGGAACAATTCCTTTCCACGATCCCATCTAACGCTTCTTTCTAACTCCGCGGTACCTCGAGAGCCGGGTAGCTGAGGACCACCAGCGAGGCGCAGGCACGGCTGTCGTCTCCTTTGATGTAGGACAAATCCACGCCTCCCACTCTCTCCAGCCCCACGAAATCGGGATSTTTCTGCCACTCCTCGGTGTCCTCCTCCAGCACGCTGTCCCTCAGCCGGGTCTGCTCCCTGCCAGAGCCGCGGCACCGCGCTGAGAGCGGGACCCCCGAGCCCCCGGCCCCGACCGCGGCCCGCCCGCTCCCGGGCAGCGCCCAGACCCATCCCGGGCACAGAGAGAGCACCGGCAGCGCTTCCCCAGAGAGCACCGGCAGCGC